TCCATGCCTATCTCATTCTAAAACCAATGGTCTCTGTACTCTTTGTTCATGCAGTTTTTTTCATTTGGGAAATGAGATGTCCCTTGACAAGCTTGCATCCCCAACTTTTGTGTGAGTACCGTGAGATCAGAGGACAGATTTTGATGGTCAGGAGGTAAGCCTGCTTCTTAAGACTAACAAAATTGGGTCTAGCTAGTCTTTGCTCTGGTCTAGGTTTACCTAGCTGAGCAGGCACTCCTTTTTTTCTGCAAGTCTGTTTGTGCTCTGCCCTCTAGTGGTTTTGGCTTGCAATGCAGCAATGACCTTGAGTGTAACTCACCTATCCTCTTAGATTCTTTCCTTCTTTTTTTATTAATAGATTTAACTAATTAATGTAAAACTATTTTAAAGATTTATTTTATTTATTTATGCATACAAGAACTGGGGTACAGGCCAGAGGTGCAGGGGTGAGAGGATTTCACCAGAGACAGAGAGGGAGCAGAACAGGCAGACTGACTGAAGTACACTGCTGAGGGGAGAGCGGGCGGGTCAGGAGAGGTCTGCGGCCCCATATGCGTTAGCTCCCTGGCTGGGGTCGAACTGATGCCACAGTGGCTAGCCACAGCTTGATAGCACTGAGACTTGAACCCCTGCACCACCAGGGAGGCCCCTCTTTCCTTCTCTTGAGTAGGAGTGTGCTTGCTGGATACTAGTGCACTGAGATTTGTAAAGCACTGACTCCTTCCCCAATATGAGCCCTAAAAAAAGTGTTTTTCATACTTTATGATGTATTTTTGCTTCAGCAGCCTGGGCTAGACCTGGGAATTTGGATTTTTAACAAGCACTGCAAGCTGTCTACATGCACTCTGCAGGCCACATCTTTAAATAAAATGCTCTGTGAAAGCTCTATGACCAAATTCCCTCTGAATCCCATCCCAAGTAGCCTGGAATTTTGGGAATCTGGGACCAAATTAACAATTCCCCTTCACCAATCTCAATACTGCGCTTCCCGGAGCTTCAGGAGTCAGGGAGGGAAGCTGCAGCTGTCCCAGCAGTTAGCCCATGAGGCTGTCTCTTGCTGATCTGATAAGGAGCAAAGTGAAGGAAGCTAACGTTTCCTACATAAACTGTGCACCAGTGGGCCAGAATTGTGCTAGATGTTTTCAAATACGATCTTCTTAAAAATTCCAACAATAGGGGCCTCCCTCATGGCGCAAGAGGTTAAGACGCAACCTATGAAACTATCCGCAGCCACTGCAGCATGAGTTCGATCCCCAGCCAGGGAATTGACCCACATGGCGCAGCAGACCTCTCCTGACACCCGCTGCTCCCCTCAGCAGTGTGTTTCAGTCTCTCTGCCTGTTCTGTTCCCCACTCTGTCTCTTGTCAATCTGTTACAGGGCAGGGAGAGGGGCAGCCCAGACCCTGCAAACCTGCCTGCTCTAAATAGGTTCTGCCACCCGCCACATCAACACAAAACATATGAGACCTTAATGGGAAGGAACTTTAATACAATTAGGAAACAATACAGGAAAGGCAAAGAATATAATTTCTAACTCAAGTACCCAAAGTTACCTGTCCCCTTGTGGGTAAAAGTCCACCCAAACAGGATTGGCCCAGAGCAAGGCCCCAAAGCCTGCCACAAGTCTAAAGCATCTTCTAGTGGGGACCCACAGAAAAGGATCAGAAACAACCAGACAAGTCTGGAAGGAAAAGAGCAAAATCAAAATCAAGACAAAAACCACCATTGTCACTCCCCACAGGTCTCTCACCCACATCTGTTTTAACCAGTCCACCACCAAAAGGCAAACGCAGTTTCTTTATGTGTCTCTTGGCTCCATGTGCCTCTTCCAGGTCTCCTTCTGGCTCTCCATCCTGCTTCCCTCCTTCCTCAGTCTCCTCTGTAACTTCTTCTCTTCCTGCTCAGCTCCACCCTCCTTTGGGTGGGGCAGGAAACCTGGAACCTCCCCCTTTCCTGGGGACCACCCTGTTAGAAATCCTCTTACTCCCCACACACCTCTGTATGTATAAATAAATAAATCTTTTTTAAAAATTCCAACAATAAATCATGAATTAGGCCTCCCCTGGTGGCGCAGCAGTTGAGCGCTGGGCTGCGAAGCTGCCCGCAGCCTCTGCAGTGCTGGTTCCATCCCCTGCCGCTGGGCGAGGGTCCCACATGGTGAGACAGACCTCTCCTGCTGTCATACTGGGGAGAGGGAAGACTTGCCAATAATATCTAGTGGGCCAGGAAAGCTGCTAAAGACACTACTACTGGGCACACTCTACAAGACAGCTCCCACAACAACAAATTATCTGGCCCTAAATGTTAATAATGCTGAAGTTAAGAAACTGTGGGCTCAGGGCCTCCCTGGTGACGCAAGGGGTTAAATTTCAGTGCTATCAAGCTATTGGCAGCACAAATTCCATCCTGACCAGGGAGCTGACACACATAGCACAGGAGACCTCTCCTGTCTCACCTGCTGCTCCCCTCAGCAGTGTATTTCAATAGATCCGTCTGTTCTGCTCCCCACTCTATCTCTAGTGAATCCTCTCACCCCGAGCACCTCTGGCCTACACCCTGGCTCTTCTATGCATAAATAAATAAAATAAATCTTAAAAAAAAAAACAAAACTGTGGACTCAAAGCCTATGCTTTTGCCCTATAGAATGGGAGGATAGGATGATGGAGAGTTAGCCAAATAAAATGGAGAAAGGACTTGGGTGGGAAGGAGATGGGACTTCTATGTAAGGATAATGGAGAACGAAAGCAGCTGATGAGATTTCTTCCAAGCTTGGCCAAGGCCCTGCTCAGTTTCTCCTAACCTTGCCAAGTCAGTCCTGGGACTTCACACTAAGCTTGTCCTGGCGTGACCCTGACTCCCAGCTCAGGGCTGGGACAAAACATTACCTGGGTCTTTCTGCAGCCAAAGCCCCTGGTTACTGGGGCCCGTGTGTTCTATCTGCAGTCCCTGAGATACTCCACATTAGCACCCTTGCTGTGAACTAAGAGTATAAAAAATGGAGCAGCCAAGGACCTGGTGTTATCTAAAAAGTTAAAAGTGGAGTGACTGGGCAAAACCAGGATGACCCCCTTAAGAGCATCCTGCTAGGGAGGAAAAAGGTAACTAGAGCAGGGGGTAACTTGCTAGGGGAGGAGGGTTCTTTCTCACCCCAGTAATCTTGCTCTGCATAGCCACTCCTCTCCTCTAGGCTTGGTCTTCTGTTTCACTGGACCCAATAGCTGTTCCTGAAGCACCCACATCCCAGTCAGCCACTTTTCTGGGTCTCCCCAAAACAAACCTCACAGTAGACCAGGGAGGGTGGGTCTGAGCTGACAGTGCAGACAGGAAATACCTCTCATTCCAAGATCAGAACCTCTGAAGAGCTATCCAGCAGATGGGGGGAGGGGGAAAGGAAAGACAGTCTTGGAGTGAGAAGGATGAGGAAAGAACAAAAAATGAGGTTCCCCATATTTGGGGTTCCATCTCCCTTCCAGCAACACGGGATGGGGGGGCGTGATAAGAGGATGGAGGAGGGCAGGCCAGAAGGAGGATGTGGTAACAGCTGATTCGTCCCCTGAGGTCACACTTTCCAGCAATCAGCTGGGGTAGAAGACAGGAAGTTTCCTTAAAGGCACAATGTTCTGAACACAGGCTCGGAATTTTGGTGCTCCTAGGAACTACAACAATCACTTGGTGGAGCCCGTTTTGAATACAAAAGGAACTAACTCAGATTCCAGCCTCATCCTTCCGGTTCGGTTACCCTGACACCCAACTGGGAATTCATGGAAAAATCAAGAGTCCCTGTCCACACATCCTTTTTTTTTTTGGTGGGGGGGAGGGTTAGTAGGTGGTGCACGCAAAGAGATGGAATGGCCCCAGTCTTGCCCCTTTAAATAAGCGGTTCAGCAGCTTTTGCCAAGTCATTGGGTTCCTTTCAGTTTTTGCCCATCCCCCGCCTCTGTTGGCTGATTGGTCCCTGGGGAAGGAGCAGCCTCCTCATTGGTCTTCACCTTTGAAATCTCTTCCCCTAAGTAGGCCTGAGTCAGTGAAAAGCTTCTGGAGGGCGGACAGAATGGGGTTATTAGGCAAAGGATGGGATCACTGGCCAGTTGCACTTTGGCACGGTCCATCACCCAAGTTTCTGACCACAAGTCTATTTTCTATTCTTAGGTGAAGACTGCGCTATTAATCTCTCTCTCTCTCTTTTTTTTTTTAAAGGAAGCTGCTGCTTGAGAGACTCTGCCCCTCTTGCCTTTGGAACGAGACATTGTCTACAAAAGCAGTATCCTCTGTTAGGAAGTCCCCTGCCCACCCTGGTGGACTAGATCTAGCCAGTGAAAGCTGGCCTGAGGCGAGGTGAGCGGACCTCCCACCCACAAAAGCCCCCAGGTGGCATCCAGTGGAAGAGTCTGCTGCCTTGGGGGCTGATTTCCACCGTCATTTTCTGCCCACACCGGCTGCTTCGCCTGCCCCACCTTTCCTTAAAGACCTATCGCCTACTGCAGAGATCAGCGAATCAGTTTTGGGGGTGTCTAAAAGAAGCACTCACAGTTCCAAAAAGGAGGGGCTATACCCCTTTAAGGACTTCGCCTGGATGGATTTGGAGATGTGTTTAAAAATGCCAACTCACAGAGCGCGCTGGATTCTGGGAACGAAGTGTCGGACCGAGAACTACACTGACCAGTATGCACTGCAAACACACACGCCTTTACTTCCTTCTGCTCTTTAGGACTCTAGTTTGACGTAGTGATCCTGTAACCGAGGTCCCTAGGCGGAGGCCTGAGCCACACCTTTTCACTCATTGGCCAGTTTGTGGGTTGGGGCGTGGCTTAGCGCAACCTCACTAGGCGAAGGGGTGGTCTCCTTGCCAATCAGAGCTAAGACGCCCGAGGAGGCGGGACCAGGACGCAGAGCTGGCGCCTCCAGTGGGTGTGGTCACGCTGCCCAGCAGTGGGCGGTGATTGGCCCTGGGCGGTGCAATCGCAACTTGTGCGTCACGACGCCGCCAGCTGATCGGAGACTGGAGCCGGTGAGTGCTGGGCGCTGGGAAGAGACAGCGCCGCCGGCCGTGGGGGAAGGACGCACAGATTTGCTCCCCTACCCTCAGCACCCCACACACACACACCCAGCACCAGGTGGGTGTGAGCTGGGGCCCTGACCTCACTGGAGGGAACCGTGTTAACGGGGTAATGGGAAAAAGTAGGGTCCTGGCGGCCACACCCTACCCTTCCGGGGGAGGGGAGAGGGGGCGGCGGGGGCTGGGGCGCTCCGGGGACGAGGGCCCTGGGCTGGCTGGAGTGGTGTGTCAGGTTGTTTAAGGAAGAAGTCCGGGAACGGAGTCGTGGTGGAAGGTCTTACGGAGTAGCTGGGAGGAAGACGAGGGGCCAGGGGGCTGGGGGCAGCTAACCTCGGCGCCCTCTGGTTCGAGGATACGGGAGTTGGCCTCCCAGCCTGGACAGAATTTGGACTGGGATATTAGTGGGGAGGTGCTTTGCCTCTACTGGCACTCACTGGGTCAGGGCCAGTTGAGCGCCCTGGCAGGGAAGGGGTCTTTGGGCAGGCCGGCCCCTCCTCTCGTTCCCTCCAGAGGATGTTATGTAAGGGGGGAGGGGAGAAGAAAGAGTAGGGGGCGGCGATGCGGGGGGCCTTATGCAATCCGAAGGTTAGGGTTTCATCACGGTTGGTGGGGGGGGGGCGGTTAGGAAAAGGGCCTGGAAACTCTAAACCGCCCCCCCAGCCTAACTTGACCGTCTTGGGCCGAGAGAAGGTCACCTCTGCACCTCCCCCCAGCCTGTTCGGTTGTGGGGCCCCCTAGCACAGGCCTGGCCGTGACCGCCTGGGAAGCAGGCTAGCTGGGTGGGGCGCCTGGGTTAGTCATCACTGGGCTCCCTCTCTCCCCACCTCTCGGCCAACTCTTAGCCCCTCCCCGTGGCCTCTGGCTAGGCTATTGCCCCCACCTCCCTTCGGCCCCAGTTCCAGCTTCCAACTCATTTGGCCTGTCATCCTGGCTGTCAGACTGGGTTAAGAGCTGTCAGGGTGCCAAAGGGTTGATGGAGCAGCTGGTCAGAGGGTCAGTGCCCTGGGCCACCCCGCCCTGCAGCCAAGGGCACCTGCTTGGCACAGACTCTCGGCAGTTGAGTCCTAAGGACTAAAAAGAGCCAGCTCAGACATAGGGGAATGGGAAGGACTTGGCCTGGTCACCTGGGGAAGATACCACAAAGTTCATATCTCCCAAGAGGGTTTTGTAATTTGAAAGCCTCCCACCCTCATCTTTCATACTCTCTGAGTATAGAATTCTCAAGGCACAACCACCTTAGCCCCCTGCTCTGGCATGGACCATGCCCTTGGGCCTGGTGTCAGCACAAACCTGCCCTCCCCAGCTCACAGTCTTGGAGCCTGCCACACCCCCAGCCCCCTCCCAGGCCATGCTGCAGGGCCGGGCTTTTCCTGCTGATTCATGCGTTGGAACTGTGGGGGCGGGGCTTGGAACTTGGAACAAAGTTCAGACTTGGAGGGGCCGGCAGACAGCCTGGAATTCATACCAGATGTACCCAGAATGCGCAAGCGGAATGCCTGGCATTTGAGAGTCCTGGGGAAGCTGCCCAACCACCCTACCCATACCTCCCTCTCCTCCAGCATTTGATCTCCTTTCTCTCCACACAGTCCCAGGAGCCTCTGCTGACCTTCCAGAAATTCTAGACCTCCTTCCTTCCTTACTCTTCCCCAGATGTAGGCCCCCAAAACTCTTCTTCCAGCTGAATTCCCTGGAAACAAGTCATTTGAGCTGATCACTGAACTAATATTTCTAGACCTGAAGTGCAGCTTCTCACTTAGTAACTGGGTGACTGGTGGGTTGTATCCAAGATTCCAGGTCCTGCCCTTTCTGAATGCTCAGGAGACTGGGGCCCCTCATGGGTAATGCTGCTGGTCTGGGTTTCTGTAGCCTTCAATTATGGAAAGGGAAGCAAAGAAAATATGTTTAGAGTGGCCTCTTGCGTCTCACTAAAGTTAACAGCTCAAACAAGCCAGGTGAAGAGTCAAGAATCCCTCACTAGACGGTTGGGCTTCTCCTGGAGCTAGTCTTTCCTGGCCAGTTTGACAGTGTTCCTGTGCCATGGCCCTGCTCAGATCTTGCCCATTTTTCTTCCTTTTCTCTTTAGGTACCCGTACCTCCCACATCCTCACCTGGCTGAGCCGCAGTAGTTCTTCAGTGGCAAGCTTTATGTCCTGACCCAGCTAAAGCTGCCAGTTGAAGAACTGTTGCCCTCTGCCCCTGGCTTCGAGGAGGAGGAAGAGGAAGAGAAGGAGCTGCTTTCCCCTTCATCTGGAAGGTGACAGACTGGGTCTGGGAAAGTCTGAACAGCGAGAGTGATAGTCTTTTGGGAAAAGGAACCTGTTCAGTTAGAAAGTGTGCACCCAGATTGGCCTAGCAAGAGAGAACAATTTTAAATTAAGAGACTCTGGCTGAACTGGGGAATAAATGACTGCCTAACATTATTTGGTCTCTGTGTGAAGAAGTGGAGCAAAGAAAATCTCTTTACCCACATTTCTTTTTATGATCCTCCTTCTTTATGCCCCATTCTTTCCTACTGGCCTTTCCAAGTGAGGTCCAAAAATAAGTTTCCTCTTTAGAGAAAAGGTCATATTGTAAGTAGTTATCCCCCGTTCTTTCTTTTCTTCGTGTTTCCTTAAAGTGATCCAGACTCTAGATTCAAAGACACCCATCTCTGTGTGGGATCCTTAGACTTCCTATCTCAGACCCCCCAATTGTCAGATAGGGAATCACCCAGCTGAGTTCAGGAGAGAATAAGAAGTTGTACAGACTCAAGAGCCTGGGCTCTCCTCCACTAAGGGTGGGAGGGTGGGAATAAAACCTTTGCATGTAAATGGTTGCTCCGCCTCCATCCCTGACCACAACCCCAGGAGCTAGGAAAGGGGAGCTTGGTAGGGGAGGGGCTAGGGTTAGACCAATATAAGGGCTAAAAGGCCCTCAGTCTCTTCACTGCTTTCCCACCATGCAAGGGTGGCCCCAGGCCTCCCCTGCCATTGAAGCAGGGCTGTAGCCCCTGATGAAGTTCCAGCTGCTGCTGCTACTTCGTTCCTGACTTTACTTTCCATTATAGTGTGTGGGACTCAACTGTGGCCTGTGCAGGCAGGACACTCTCCCCTCCAGCTGCCAGGAGGGATGGGTTGTGGAATATGACTTCCAAATAGTGTAAACCTGCCATCCCCAGCTCCTGATCCAGTCTCACCCTTGGACTCAGACTCTGGTGTGATTTTAACCTTGATCCAGCCTCTCTGCATGAAAGAAGCCAAGTTCAGGGGCTGAGGAAGCTGTTTGCAGGGAGTTAGATTTTATTCTTCATTTATGAGAAACTGAGAGTTGAGAGGGAAGAGTAGACCTACTCTTTCTGCAGCTAAGTTGGATGTGTGTGGAACTGTGGAAGGGTTGGGGGGTGGGTGGGTAGACTGAGTCCGCTCATAAGTTGCAACAAAGATTGCTCTGTCCCTGGACATTGCTTTGCCCTTTCTTCCTCACCTTGCTTTACTGGCCACAGTGTCTCTGTCTAGCCCTGGGTATGTGGCTTTGTGATCCTCACCCATCATGGAGCAGCGATGAGCAAGTGCAGCTTGGGAACACAGAGGCCTGGAGAGGACAGGGACCTGTTTGGGCATCTTGCAGAGGGTGCCCATATAGACGAGAAGTACACCAGGAGAAAGAACAGCCAGCCCCCATCATGGACAAGCTTCCAGTCCTGTACTTCATTCACCATTTTCCTGCAATCTTTCTGCTTCCCTCAGAGATGTGGGACCATATTATAGTGTCTGGCTTGTGGCTCTATACTCCTACTTCCACTTCTCGATCACCCTCTAATTTTTGTATAAGCAGTCTCCATGAGGAAGAGCCAGCTGTAAAAGGACATACAAAGGAAATTCTTAAAATAAATTCAAGGATAAATTCATGAAAAAAAAAATGTGTGTGTTTCATTAGTAATTAAAGAAAAGCAAATAATGCTGAATGCATTTTTTCCCATAGCAAACTATAACAGAAGAAATAAGACTCAAGTTATTGGCAAAGGAGTACTAAAATAACACTCCCATATAATGCATATGGGGATACAAATTGGTGAGACTCCCTGGATATCAGTCTGGTAATATAAACCAAACACCCTGAATTTTTCAGTGGCCTTTGACCAAGTGATTCTACATTGGGGAATTTATCTAAAGAAAATAAAGATTCAGTTATAAGATGTTCATCCTGCCATTGCAATAGAGAAAAATGGAAAGCAACTGTCAGACTGGGAATTCATTTCTTTTCTCCTGTAATGAAAATTCACAGTAGGGGATTGCCTAAGTAAATTATTGTATATCCATCCAGATGGTGGAGTACTGTGCAGCCATTAAAAGTCATGTAAAAGAACATTTAACTGGGAAGAAAAATGCTCTTTGAATATTAAAAAGGCTATAAAAATAGTGTATATTATGTGATCTCATTTTTTAAAAATACTTGTATACATAAAACAAACTGAAGACATACTTCAAAATGTTAATAATAGTGGTTATCTTTGGCAAATAAAGTAGTTCTAATTTTCTTCTTGGTTTTTCAGTAATTTCCAAATTTTCTACATTAATTGTGTATGTTTTTTGTTTAATAAAATTTAAAATAACCTAAATTTAAAAATACTGGGGGGTGGGGGGGTCAGAATGAAGAGATGCTCCTAGTCCCTTGGATATAATGGAGTTTGGGTGGAGGAAGGGGGTTATGAGGACATTTGGGGAAGATCTAACAGCTAATGAACTTCATTCTTAAGGAGGATCTGGAATCCACTCTCAGTGTACAGGGAAGGAACAGCTCTCTGAATTGCTGGCTGTCTTCCAGGTTAAAGAGGTGTGGACTTGAGTAAGACAGAAGGAAAAGAGTAAAAATCTGTCACGCTTCAGAAGATGGGGGAGGGGAAAAGATTTTCCTCTCCATCTGAAAGGTTCTAGAATCATAAAGGATACTGCTGCTGAAAACAAGATGAATCTTCATTTTTCTCTTTGAATCTGCCTGAGCCTTGAGGTTACCCTAAGTGACCTCTCCTTGGCACCTCAGATTGGAAGACATATTCTCCTTTCCATCTAATAGGCACTAATCCCTGGGGAGGAGTGCTTTTCAGGACGATGGTGCCGTGTGGCTCCCTTATGGCTTCCCTTCCTAATAATGACTCTTCTGGAGGGCCCAAAAAAAAGATTGGGGAAGAGTCCCCAGTGAGTCGCTTCTCCAGAATGGGAGTTGTTGCGTTTGAGAGGTACTATGTAAGGGAGCAGGACACCTGGAATTACAGTTTCTAGGATATGTTAAGATCTGGAACCCTCAGGAGGTAGAAGGGATGGCTCCAAGAAGTGAGGCGCCTCCCGCACATCTGAGTGGGGGGGCGGGGGGGAGGATGCATGCGAGGCCAGGTTTAAGTAGGTGGCCAGGTTTAAGTAGGTGGGAGTGGGATTGCGCTGGTTTCTAAATTCAGGGCTGGGCTGTGGGTTGGGTGGGAGGTACAGCCAGCTGGTGAGGGGTTAGAGTAGGGAAAAGAGGTGAAAGTTAGTGGGGCGGGGCTTCGGGAATATCAGTGACATTAGTGACCCATTTCTGAAGCTCTTGAGGGTTACAGAATTCGCGGGGCTGGGAAAGACTCCTAAGGACATCCCAAAAGACCCCCGCTGAGCTCGCGCTAGGCTTAGTCCCCCCGAAGACCCCAGCCCGCCCTCCCACGCTGGAGCGGGACGCTCTTGGTTGCCGTGGCTCCAGGGGCGGTAGCCTGGCGCCTGCTCCAATCACCGCCCAATCGAGGTATGGAGGCGTGGACGAGCCCTGGAAAAGTTACAACCGATCCCGAAGGCGGAGCGAGCGGGGGAGCCCAGGGACCCAGCACTGCGATGAAGCCAGTTCACGGTCCCCGCAGGGGGCGTTGGGTTCATTCGGCAGAGAGCGCGGGCCCCCAGAGGACGCATCCGAATCTAGTCCCGCAGCCGAGCAATGGCGTCCTCCGGGCTCCTCGTGACCGGAGCCTCCTTCGCCGCCTTCAGGGGGCTGCACTGGGGGCTGCAAATACTGCCCACACCTGGATCTGCTGCTCAGGACCGTTGGAAGTGGCGGAACATCTGTGTCTCGCTGGTGCACAGCACGCTCACGGGGGCAGGGGCGCTGCTCGGGTGCGGGGTTTAGAGGTTTGGGAGGCACCGGGATGAGGGCGAGGGAGGTAGAAGGTTAAGATTAGAAGACCCGGGCACCACCTTTAGTTTTACTACGAGATCTTGGAAAGTCCAAGACTGGAATGGGGCTGTGGATGGAAGGGAGGGCGTGCACAGCCTGAGGATGAGACCCGGGTCTGCTCAATGTTGACCGTGGCCCCCCAACTCCTCCAGGCTATCACTGTACCCTCAGATGGCTGCCGACCCGATTCGTGGCCACCCGCCCTGGGCCCTGGTGCTGGTGGCTGTATCTGTAGGTGAGTTTGCAGAGAAGATTGGGTTAGTTTGGGGTGTGGGGGGACAGCTTTCTAACAATAATTCCAGGTCCCCTCTCTCTCCCCTGCAAAATCTAATTGTTTTTGGTTGGTTGATTTTTGGTTTTCAAGAGAAACTAAACTGGAAAAAGGGAATGGAGATGTCTCTCCAGGTTGTACACCAGCTTGAGGGAAGCCTAATTCCACCCCAAAACCCCCACCCCATGCCCACAGGTTATTTCCTGGCTGATGGAACTGACTTGCTGTGGAACCAGACCATGCGCCAGGCCTGGGAACTTCTCTGTCACCATTTGGTGGTGAGACTCCGGGAAAGGCGAGCTAGGAAGGAAGGGAGGTGTACCCAGTATGGGATCCCCAATCTCTTTTTAGCTTTCTGTCATATGATTTCCCAGAGTCTCTGACCCCCACTGGTGCTTGATCCTGCTAAGGATGGACTGAATTGGGGGATGGAGATGATTGATGGTCACAGCTGGAGGTCTGAGCACTGCTTAAAGAGCTTGGGTCCCTGCAGGTGTCCAGTCAGTTGCAGAAATATTGACTACAGATCTTTTCTTAGAAGGGCAAGTCCCAGTATAGAGAGCAGTGGTGGGGCATGATAGTCCATGAATAGAATGGAAATTAGAGGGGGTACTGTGCAGATGCTGCAACCTCAGGAGAGACAGCCTCTGAATCAAGACTGCTCCCGTCTTATGGAAGGGTTGTTTTAAGGCCATCCAGGTCCCCAATGTAAGGGTAAGCATAACGGTCGGGTGTTGTGAGGGGTGCCACAAAATGCTTGGGAGTCCCTCTCTTTAGGACTGGTATGTTGGGAGATGATGGGTGGTAGGTCATAGAAAATCCTCTGTCCTCTGTCCCTGGCTCCCCAGGTAGTAAGCTGCCTCAGCACCGCCATTCTGTCTGGCCACTACGTGGGCTTCTCTGTGGTGTCTCTGCTCCTGGAGCTGAACTCTGCCTGTCTACACCTACGGAAGCTGCTGCTGCTTTCTCACCAGGCCCCATCCCTGGTCTTTAGCATAGCCAGCTGGGCCACTCTGGCCACCCTTGCCCCCTTCCGCCTGGTGCCACTGGGGTGGATGAGTGTGTGGCTGTTCCGACAGCACCAACAGGTGCCTCCTGCTCTGGTTGTCCTTGGTGGAATTGGGCTGATGACCGTGGGTGTCATGAGCATCATATTGGGTGTCCGCATCTTCGTCAGTGATGTTCTGCGGTCTCGGGCCCACCTGCCCACTCTGAGGGACAAGGAAAGCAGGGACACTGGGACATGTGATAGTGAGCCTGTCACCAGGGATGTTTCCAATCTTCGCAAGAAAGACTAAAGAGAAGCCTCAAACTTCTCTTCTGCCAGTCCTGGGGGAGATAGAACCAAGACAAGATGGTGAACTTCATGTACATTTCCCCACGGGGGTAAGAGCTGGACTGGATTTTCAGTATCTCAGTTCCTCTTCCAGCCAACTCATACCCTTCCTCCATTCCTAGGAACTGAGAGGAAATGTGGAAATTAATGTTTACCGAATTCCATCATCAGATGACCATAGGTCCAGTAAACGACCTCAAGCAATGTAGTCAGTGCTATCAGTAAAGTGTGGCAGGAGGCATGAAGCTGGATAAAACTGCTAGTACAAACAGAATTTCTTTGCTTTGGCACAGGGACAGGTGAAAAAAGGTGAGGTCCTGTTAGGAGCAAAGAGATCTGGTGTGGAGGAGGTGGGATCAGAGGGTAAAAGAGGCCTCAACTACAACCAAATTCTGGCAGTGGCAGGAAGCACAGCAGATGCTATCTCTAGTCAGTAGGGATGGGCAAAATAGTTGCCAAGAGAAAGAAGAACCTAGGCCATAGCGATTGCTGCTAATATTTCTGGTTCTCTATTTTTTTTTTTTTTTTAGATTTATTTAAGCAAAAAAGAACTGGGGTACAGGCCAAAGGTGTGGGGGGGTGACAGGATTCACCAGAGACAGAGTGGGGAACAGAACAGGCAGACTGACCGAAACTCACTGCTGAGGGGAGCAGTGGATGAGTCAGGAGAGGTCTGATGTGCCCTGTGGGCAGCTCCCCAGCCAGCCAGGGATTGACCTTGTGCTGCAGTGGCTGCGGATGGCTTCATAGTGCTGCGGCTTAACCCCTTGCACCACCAGGAAGGCCCATATTTCTGGTTCTTAAAGCTACACTATTGTGTTTGTACTTAACCCTCATCCTACTGTGGTCTAGCATCTGCCTTTTCAGGTTTTTTTTTTTTGAAAATTTATTTATTTATACAAGAGCTGGGGTACAGGCCAGAAGCACGGGAGGGTGAGAGGATTCATCAGAGACGGAGCGGGAAGTAGAACAGGCAGACAGACCAAAGACACTGCTGAGGGGAGCAGCGGGCGAGACAGGAGAGGTCTGCCGCGCCATGTGGGTATCTCCCTAGCTGGCCGGGAATCAAACCTGCACTACAAAGGCTGTAGACAGCTTCACAGTGCTGTGCACAACCTGCTACACCACCGGGGAGGCCCCTGTCTTTTCAGTTTTTTAGTATCTTCTGACCTTTTCATATTTTTAGAGCAATGAGGTTGGAGCTAGGACAGTCTTCTTTCTTAGTATAGCACTGAATTCCAGAGCCATAACAGGTACTCATATACATTCTGGGTGCCTAGTGTAGGGTCTTCCCAGGCCCAGGCTTTGATGGAAGCAGAGTGAGGGCAGAGATGGAAGCAGATGAGGGGAGACTTCCACTGGTTGCAGAGGTGAATCCTCTTCTTTCTCCCCTGCCACTTCTGCTAAAAATTTTTTATAGCACAAGGCCCCTCCCCTTTTCAGGAAAAACATCCAGGTTATGGGCCTCCCTGGTGGGGGCAAGGGATTAAGTACCGCACTATGAAGCGATCTGCAGCCTCTGCAGCACAAGTTTGATCCCCGGCCAGGAAGCAACCCACATGGCACAGCAGACCTCTCCTGACTTGCCCACTGCTCCCCTCAGCAGTGTATTTCAGTCAGTCTGTTGTTCTGTTCCCCATTCTGTCTCTGGTGAATCCTCTCACCCCCCACCCCAGCATCTCTGTCCTGTACCCCAGCTCTTGTATGCAAAAATAAATAAATCTTTTTTTTTTTTTTTTATTTGTTTGTTTGTTTGTTTGTTTGTGTCTATACATGCACTGGGCACAGTCAGAAGCGCGGGAGGGCGAGAGAACCCACCAGAGCCAGAGCCGGGAGCAGAGCAGGCAGAAGGACCGAGGCACACTGCTGAGGGGAGCAGCGGGCAGCAGGAGGGGTCTGCGCGCCATGTGGGACCCTCCTCTGGTGGCCGGGGAGCAGCCGGGGATCGAACCGGCGCCGCAGAGGCCACGGGCAGCTTCGCAACCCAGTGCTCAACCGCTGCGCCACCAGGGAGGCCCATAAAAATAAATAAATCTTTTTAAAAAATCCAGGTTATTAAGACTGCTATTCTACTAAACAGTGGACAGAAAAAGATAACGCTTATCATTCACAGAGACAATACAGGAGTGAAAGGAAGGGGATGGGGGGAATCCTTTCAAAAAGTTGCACTGAAGAAAGGCAAATGGGGTGATAGAGACAGACACACAGGTTGAGGGCAGAGAAAAATTCAGTGCATAGAAGAGACAGAGGAATCTTTGGCAGAAAAATCTAGAAGATGTTGTAGATGCTTGAGAGGAGCCAATCATAAAATTATTAAAATGGTCATAAACAAAGAGGATAAGAAAAATAGAAATAAAGGCAGATAGAAAGGGATTCCAGGGTGTAAAGTACAGACAGGCTAGACAGTGAAATAGTGAGAGTGAATGATTGACAAGGAGAAGCAACCAGACTCAGGAGAGAGAGAGTTAATAGAAGCAGATAAAGGGCAGGAAAGAAGAGAAGTGAAAATAGAGAGGAGGGAGATTAGGCAGCAGAGCTGAGAAGCAGGAGCGGGAGGAGGCAGTCAATGCAAAGATTTGACTGAAAGAGAAAGCGTGAAATATGTTGAGCTGGAGACAGGCAGAAAGACAAAGGCCAAGCAGCTATAGTGCAGATAGACAGCGCATCAACAGAGACTGGTAGTAACCTATAAGGAGAGGTTGGTTGGAAGATGAGTAAAAGTCAGAATTTGGTGTCAATTGAGATAGAAAAATAGGCAAAAGAACTGAGAGGAATCACAGAAGAGTAAGGCGGAGGGTAGAAGTATCCAAAGGAAGGAACAAAGATAAAGAAAGAAAATAATAGAGACATGGAAACAAAATGAGAGAGGGTAATTGTGAGTGATGCCCATGGTAGAGTTTTTATTGATTTATTTTTTAAACATTTATTTATTTATGCATACAAGAACTGGGGTATAGGCCAGAGGTGTGGGGGGTGAGGGGATTCACCAGAGAGAGTGGGGAACAGAACAGGCAGACAGACTGAAATATACTGCTGAGGGGGACAGCGGGGCAGCCAGAAGAGGTCTGCTGCACCATGTGGGTCAGCTCCTTGGCCAGCTGCAGAGGCTGCTGATAGCTTCACAGTGCTGTGGTTAACCCCTTGCACCACCAGAGAGACCCCATGGTAGAGTTTTTAAACCATGGCAGAGTGGGGAAATAACAAATAGCGAGGGAGGAGAAGGAAACACAGCAAAAAAACAGTTTGGAGGTTTAAATGCAACAAGGTTTAAATGTAACAGGAAAAAGTATAAAAGGAGAAACAAAGAAGTTTGTTAGAGTTTGTCCTTGATGGAAGTAGTGTTTTCAAGAATTTAATTTGCCATCTTAACTGAATGCCTTGATAAACAAAATCATATTTTGAGTTTTCAAAGAAAAAGAAATGTGACAAATCCATGGCAGGGAGCTATTCCTAAATGTGTGTGGACATTAATATGGATTCATTCTGTTAGGGGGAAAGGATGCCCTGAGCAAACTCCATACAGGCTTTGTGTACTCCACCCCCACTCCATCAAGACCCTGGGAACTACAAATCCCATGACCAGGGAGAGTTGCAAGGACCTGAGGGCGGAGTTAAGCAGCCATGTTCTCTGTTTTGGATATTTAAAAAGCCATGTGAGTGCCCTCTCGCTCTCTTGGCCAGGCAGCACTTGGTCTCAATGGGTCATTTGGAATTCCAGGTCAGTGGAATGGGTAGGACGCATTTATGAATTTAATCTCCCTCTTTTTCTCCCTGAGTTATTCATTTCCTCATTTCCCCTTCCCTTGTAAATAAACCTTTTGTTAACCTTTGGTGTGTGCCTGCAGTTTAAGTCCCCCTTAAGCGCGCGGGTGAGAACCCAGAGTCAAGCAACCCATTTATATCAGGGTTGCCCTATAACATTCCAGCCCTATTCCTTTCCTTTTGGCACTATCATAAAAATTCATGGTCCTGGGCCTCCCTGGTGGCACAGCGGTTGAGCGCTGGGCTGAAAAGCTGCCGCAGCCTCTGCAGCACTGGTTCGATACCCGGCTGCCGGGTGAGGGTCCCACATGGCATGCAGACCTCTCCTGCAGCCCACTGCTCCCCTCAGCAGTGTACTTTGCTGGTCTGCCTGTTCTGTTCCTGCTCTGGCTCTGGTGAATTCTCTCACCCTCCTGTATTTCTGACTGTACCCAGTGCTTGTATAAATAAATAAATAAATCTTTAAAAAAAAAATTCATGATCCCAGCACATACCCTTCTTGGTAGCACCTGAGTGTATCTATGAAGGGTGTCAAGAACTTGACCAGTAAGGAGATATGGCTATTTAACTGGATTAACTGAAGGGTGAGCTTAGCTGCTGGCTGGGGCAAGATGTAAGTGGATGCCACAGAATTTGGAATCACACATATGTAAGTCATGATGACCCAGTGAAACTCCAGAAGGCAGAGCTGAGTTAGTGGATATCTCACCAACTGAACCAGTATCGATAGTATGGACCAGATAGAGATGATGGGAATCAGAGAGGTATGCGTCCCAATTTCTCTTCTGAAAATCCAAATTAAAAAATGCAGAGGTTGGCAGATGCTACATTTGGTCCAATGAGTCAGGTCTTCATGGCCCAGTAAAGTGCTCCAAAAGACTGACTTCATGCCTACTGAGCTACTGGCTGATGAATGATTTACTTTCTGGAACAGGGGAGGGGCTTTTCTGGATGGGACACATTGATATTTTATGATCTCAGAACATTATCCTGATCATAAATTAATAAATTGCTATGAAATAATTGCATCTGTCTGTTGTGAGCATGGTTACATGGAGTCAACTTTCTCAACTCCTGATTTATAAAGCACTGCTAGATAGTGGAATCTTTGCCTTGGGAAGGTTTCCTTTTTGTCCATCAAAGCCCTAAATTCTTCTAAGATCATCTGTCAAAAAGCAAACCTAATTTATTCAGCAGAGTGTACTGAGAAGAAAAGAATGAATTCCAACAATTTGGAGTGACTATGCTGAGGGTTGAAACCAAGAGTCTTTTAACAAAAATTAATCTTTTTTAAAGATTTATTTATTTATGCATACAAGAACAGGCCAGAGGGTGGAGGGGGGTGAGA